GGGAAGCACCTGCACCATGTGGCATCATCCACACTTTGCAAATAAATTAGATTTCGATACAAAGTGACGTGCTCTTCTGGGTTGCCTGTACCATCATAGGCGCCCACAACTACACTCTTAACCTTTGGTGGTTAAGGGGGGTTCAGAATTTCATGAGAAAATGGAGGCGGCTTATCACCGAGATTTAACAAGCGCATTTGCGAATCAATTGGCTAAAGTTGTGCGGACGGTCTGGCCATGTAAGCTGCTTGGTTGAACGGTTAGCCATATTGCCTGTACTATCCGAAGACAGGAGGGTTAGGCGACAAAAATGCATTAAGATTATGGGGAGTCTAATATTGAAATGGTTGAGCAACTGAAATAGGAGTTTGAGTATGATAAGTTTGGCTTCTGTTGGTCTTGGCCGAGCTGGTATGTTTGGGAAGAGAAGGGTCTAAGAATATATTCGCATTGTGGGAGTAAAGGCAATGTCTGAGTAGGCTGCTCATTCCCGTTGTTTATGCCGAATTTATTCCCTTGCGTCCTTCTAGCGTCGAGATGGCTCAGGATCATCCCTACGAGGCTACTTGGTCTGCCCCCCCCCCCCCCCCAACCGACTATATTTTCTCTAGGAACCTAGATAGAACTACTAGAAAAAAGAGTGTTTTTCGACCGAAATTTTTCGTTGGAAACATCCGTTGGAAATTTAAGACGGAAATTGCGTCGGAACCGCTGCCAAAAAAATAAAAAAAAGGCCGCTCATCCACCGGTATCCCCACCAGTTTCGCCACCAGACGCCACCACCACCACATCGCTATCATCCCCAACCACTTCCATAACCCACCCCCGCTACCAGCTCGCACCACTACCTGCCCCACCACCGCTACCAGACCCCACAACGCTACCAGCCACCCAACCAAACCCCAGTCCCCATATCTACAATCCTAACCCTAAACCCACAACCACCTTAACCCTCCCAACCTAACCCAGATCTACAATACTAACCCTAAACCTAAACCCACCACCACCTTAACCCACCTAACCTTTACCAAACCATCCGGCCAAACAATATGGCCTAACAACCACCCGAACCCACCTAAAACCACCCAAAAACCACCAACAAATCGAAAAACAACAATTTATTTCACAAAAAAAATCAGAAAAAAAAAAAAGAAAATTAAAAACAAGAAAACATACCTTATAAACCAAAAATAGCCTTGATTTTCAACTCGAATTTGGTTTAAAACTGCCAAATTCGACCATGCAAATTTGACCATGAAACCTTAGTTTTGGCAAATTTCGTGAATATAGTGACAAATCCACCAATTCGACGATGAAAAATATTCTTGTGTGGTGTTAATTTTGAAAATGGGGAAGAAGAGAGGGGAAACCGTAAGAAAGAAAGAAGAAAATAAGGAAGGAGAAGAGGAGATGGAAAGAAGAAAAGGAAGGAGAAGAGGAGAAAAAGGAAAATTCCGTCGAAAAGCACTAATTTTCCGACAGATTTCAATTCCATCGGAAATTAATTACATTTCTGACGGATTTATCCATCGTAATTTTCCGACAGAACTTAAATCCGTCGTAATTTACCTATTTTATGACGAATTTGCCGACAGATTTAATTAATTCGTCGAAAATATCCGACGAAATGGAAATCAGTCGAAAATTTTAGCTTTTTCGACGAAATTACGTGTCCGTCGGAACGTACTCGTCGCAAATCAGTTGATTTCTTGTAGTGTATATTCGTCCGTGGTACCCTAAGAGATCTTCCATGTTGTTTGAAAGGGGTATTTCCAGCATCTTCGGCGTTCAATGCCTTGCTCTAGGTCTTCTTGTTAGTGCCCTCTCCTCCCCTCCCCTCATGGGCTGCTACCTAGAGGAAGAAGGCATCTTACCCTCTAGCTCCTTTTGGAGCTTACTCAAGGCAAGATTAAGTGAACCATTAGTAACAGGAGGATCCTCGGCCTCATGAAATGAGGCGATCAGAGGGTCACTAGAATTTATTGTTACAGTTATATCCTCTACATGTCTATCGACACCAGGAGCAAGTTCTGTGTTTGGTGTCTGACCATCTATTTCCATAGTGGACGAGAATCCCCAGAGACGGCGCCAAATATTTCGGGTGATTTTGTGATTCCCTCGGACTCTGATCGCGTTCTTTTGATAAGTAGATTGGGACACCTGCAAATCATGAATATTTGGTGACAGAATATTTACCTCCGACGGTTAAGTTAGTAACCTGAAATCGAAAAGGCTAGAGATCGAAAGTAGAGAGAAGTTGGAGCTATTTTGTGCTCTATTAAATGCTATCTTAATTCACCCCTCGCATCATAAACGATTAGGGTATTTATAGGGGGTGGGGACATAAGCTTTTTAAGGTATTGTTTAGACCCCCTATGGGCCCACGTTCGTCAAATATGGAAATTACCAAAATGCCTTTACGTAAACCCAAAACAGGAAATTTCAATCATCATGCACAGCACGCAACCCGAGAAACCCTAATGTGGACCAACAAGGCCTAACATGGCCCAGAACGCCCAGAAACCCTAATCAAGTTAGTTAATCCTCTCCTATTAATACTAATCTTCGCATATTAGCGAGGTAATAAATTTTCTCGACTCTCTCTCTACAAACTTTCTCTCAAAACACCATTGACTGACTTGATCGTCGGAGGGGCTTTCTCGGGAACACCCCCCGAGACAGATGACTTTCGTTGTTTTGCAGGACTCGGTTTGACCTGACGAGCAGGCTCCCTACAACTCAAATTCGAAATTCTTTTGCAGAAACAAGTTTGTACCCTAGAATGACGTTTTCTGATTGGCGGCGCAATCAGGTAGGGACACGTGTCCTTTAGGAAGCGTCGTTTTGCGGCTTCCTCGAGATTTGGGACTCTTGATATAAGGAGGCCCTTTTTCTCTCTTATTCAGGTGCTCTAAAATAGGGCTGCATACGTGGCTTCTTCCTATAGTGACACATGTCGCTTTGTAATTGGGCCACGTGGTCACCGCGGGATTTGTCCACTTGCCGGGGGTAATTTTTCCCCCAAACACTTCTTATGTCCAACCCTATTGCACGTAGAGGACATAATAAACATATTCTCATATCAAATGTTAACCCATTTAAATTCAGAGTTTCCTAGGTCTAAGTAGAATCCCGGTAATAAAGGGTCTAGAACATGAACTTGTAGTTTGGCTCTAATCAAACATTTAACGGATCCTGAACGAGGTTCATCAGTACAAAGCACGTTTCGAGCCAAATTAAGAAGCGGTGAAATAACATTCATCTCGCATAAGTTCAAAGGTACCTCGTCGTTACAGAAAAACAGGAAAATATTGTCAAATTTTTGGACTTTAATACCTCCAAATTTAATCCAGTCCTTTGACACCCACTCTTGGATACGAAATTCCGAGAATTTTCAGTACTCTATAAATTTACCAAGAACATGATGAACATGGAGACAGGGATTAGAGCTTATGTTGGAGCGATCATTTTGGGATTTATCACCAAAATACTTACAACTTGAGTGATTTAAGTATTGTTGTTCTGCCATTTAAAGTGAACGTGGAAAAGAAATTCTTGGAGAGCGAAATCGCAAACAAGGTCACGCCACCGATCAGAACAAGGACTAAAAATCCACTAAATCTTTCAATTTCTACATAAAACTATTAAGTTATACTCTTGAGCTACCTATTTCACTTTGTAATTGAGGAAATTGGAGGTGTAGCGGCGAAGGAAGGAGAGTCGGTGTAGGGAAATTAGGGAATGGGCTCTAGCATTCTAGAGAGATAAGCTCTCCTTTTAGAGAGAAAACTTCCTTCAATTTTTTAGTACATGATTTATGTGTGCATTATTTAAGTGAGTCGCGCTAGGTTCAACCATAATACATTTAATTTGAAGTTAATTCAAGTCCACAGCGTATAGCTTAAGAATTCACCATTGTAGGGTTTTGAGTTGGATTTTATGTCATTGGACCAGATTTGGAGTGTGTTGGACTTACTTAATAAAGCTATTCTAGTTGCTTAAAATAGTGTTGTCAAATTTCAAACCGAAACCGTTTAACTGTCAGAATCCGACCGACCCAAATGAATACCGAACCGATTAAAAACCGTTTTTTTTAAACCGAAAACCGACCCGGACTGCATTTTAGTAAACCCGAAACCGAATCAATCCGAGTAATGTTAAACCGTTTAAGAACCGAACATGTTAACCAACCGAACCAAATATAAACCGAACTGGAAGAAAACCGAACCGAAAAAGAACCAAACCGTATCTAACCCGAAACCGGTTCCAACCCGAAACCGTTTAAACTGGCATAAAAAACCGTTTACACCGAACCGTTAGCAAACTACTACCCGTTTACACCGAACCATTTAAAAATTGAACTGATTGTAAACCGAACTGGTTATAAACCAAACCGTTTATGAACCAAACCGCTTATAAATCGAACCGTTTACAAACCTTTTTTTTTTTTTTTTTTTTTGAATAGTACAAACTTTTTTATATAATTAAATGGATTAAATATTAGAAATCTTAGAATATATTTAGCATATATTCCAAACTTATCAATTTTTCTTGAGAGCCACATTATCAAGAACTACGAGCAAAAGAAACAGGAACTTGAATAGTCAATGACACATATGATGGCTAGACTTTGTATATGACACATGTTATGCTCATATGTTTTAATAGCAGGCCAAATTTCAATATTTCAAGAGGGAATGGGGAGGGATCATTGCCATTGCCCATTGCCATCAACCATTGCCATTGCCCATTTCCCACTGTGATGGATTAAGGATGTTGTCTTTTGTTCATCATTGGTCACACTCTATTGGAATGTCAATTGTCAAAACCCTTAGTTTGCTCTGTTATCTTAGATGGGAAACTCCATAATTATCATGCCAGGCCTTCCATGCTTAAACCAAAAATAAACTAAAATTATATTCAGCCTTGAATATAAAATGAAACAGTTTTCTACCCACCTACCCCAAGTCCCCAACTTAATCCCACACACAAGATGATCATAAGAGATAAGAACTATGAAATAACAAACTTCCGTAAATACATAAATCAAGTCCACGGATTGAGAATAGTACATCATTATAACGGAAGCACTGAATCAACATCCTTAAGCTCAGCAAATTTGCTGAGATAACTAAAACCGTAGAGTGTTAAGTCATTTCTTCAAGCTCAAACAAAAACTATGAATTCATTCTTCAATACACAACACTTAAATATAACAAATCCCAAAACCAAGCAAAGTCCATTAACAATTTTTTTATACAGGAACATTACAGCAGTTAGCAGACACAGCAGATACAGCAGAATGGCAGAACAGCGGACATGGCAGAACAGCAGCAACAGAACAGAAGAGCAGCAGTCAGCAGACATCAGAACAGCAAAGAACAGTCAGCAGAATAGAAGTTTAGCAGACATGGAAGAACAGCAGAATAGAACAGCAGCAGAATAGAGCAGCAGAATAGAACAGCAGCAGCAGAATAGAATAGCAGCATAGAAGTTTATTAATGAGAATATATGATTGGCAATGTTCTAATAATCTCAAATATGTACAATTCCGTCTCTTGAATGTTCGTGTGTTACCAATTACCCTTAATCAATTGACTCTGATCATCAAATTGTAGATTTTTTTTTGAGGGAAATTTGATGCATTATTATTTTAGCAACATTTGGGCCCAAACTTCAGTTTATAATAGACTAGTAATGCTGCTGGACATAATTTAATGGAATATATAGCATTCTTCAACACTTTCTGTCAATTTAATTCCTAATTCACTATAATTTTCAATTCCTAAAACAATTAAACTTATATATCCTTATAAACAAAACCCCATTCTTCAACACTTTCAGTCAATTTATTCATTTATATATATAAAATCAACAACTTGGCCATATTTTTTATACTATTACTATCATCCATTCATCCCCAAATTTACATTTTCAATTGCCACACATTACAAGAAATACATAAACAAAATATAAATAATAAAAAATAAAGAAAAATCCAATTCATACCAACAAAAAATATCAATTAAAATCGATGGAAACAAAAAATATCATGTGCCAATGACCATGATATATTATCGACAAGCTACTATACCTAAATAAATTAATGTTTGATTGCTAAGAATTGGAGTGCTTGCATGTGAATTATACAATTCTTCAATTTAATTTGTTATATATATTTTGTATACTTCCTCCATTATAAATTGGTTAAATCATGTTACTAAGAATTTCATACCTGAATTTTACATCCTAGCTCAGATTCTACACTACAACATCGCAAGAAGTACGAGAAAGAGAGAGTTCATACCTGAATTTGGAGATTTAGGGCAGCAACAACATCGATGAGAAAGAGGGAGATCAGGACAGCTTCAAGGTTTGGTATTCTGGCAGCCGTGAATGAATGTATGAGGGAGACGGAGGCGCCGTGAGCCCGTGAGAATGAATGTCACGGAGAGGGAGATTTGAGAGGCGCCGTGAGCCCGTGAGAATAGAGTGAGAGTGGTAAAGTGAGAGTGAGAGTGAAAGGGTTTCAAAAGGGTTTCATGTAAATCTAACCATTGATTTTTTAATCTATGGTTGAGAATGGTGATCTGTGTGTGTTGTGGGAGAAAGAATCTAACCATTGATTTTTTAATCTATGGTTGAGAGTGGTGATCCGTGTGTGTTGTGGGAGAAAGAATCTAACCATTGATTTTTTAATCTATGGTTGAGAGTGGTGATTCGTGTGTGTTTGTGTGTTGTATATTCATCTACAAAAATATTATTCCCTCAATTCTTAAGTATTTTTTTGCCCCATTTGATCGGGATCAGTTCCCAAGACACGTATTAAAACATCTACTAGTATATATCTTTATTTTCATACACGTAAAAATTATAAAAACGTTATATTAATAAATTGTATAAATAGATAAATTTTAAAAGATCACTCATGAGTCTATAACTTTGTACTAATACATACGAATAACGATGATACGAATATTTAACTATGAGATAGTTAGATGCCATGTGTTAATAATGTGTGCATATGATCGATTGAACTAATCAATATTACCTTGTTAATTAGTCATTACTGTTTTCTTTCATTATACAAATCAAAGTACTTTGTAATATCTTCATAATTTCATGAAAATATATAATGATAAACGAGTCATAATTATCAGTCTTGTTGACTAATCAAGTATCGATTACCAAATTGCAAATTTCCATTTCACAAGAACTCATCAAATCATGACTATGATACTACGCGTAGTATATAAATGATTAAATAAGAAGCATATAATAACCTAATTGTAAAACAATAATACATTAATTCACTAACTCTTATAATCTACTTCGTAATAAACTAGTAAGATCAGTATGACTAAACTTGAAACAAAACATAATATGTATTTATAAAATCAATGAGAATTTGTTAATAATATGATGCCTAAATATGAAATGATTCGCGACTTTATATAAAACTTGTGAACGCAAAAGGTTAGCAAGTACTATCAAATTTCAAACCAAAACCATTTAATGCCCGAATCCAAACAACTCAATAAACAATTTAATTTTTGAAACCGAAAACCGACCCGAACCGTAATTTAGTAAACTTGAAATGGAACCGATATGAATAACGTTAAATCATAGAAGAACCGAACCAATTATAAACTGAACTGAAAAAGAACCGAACCAGTTATAAACTGAACCAAAAAAGAACCGAACCAGTTAAAAACTGGACCAAAAAAGAACAGACCAATTATAAACTGAACCAATAAAGAACCGAATTGTTTCTAACCCGAAACCGTTTCCAACCCGAAACTGTTTGAACCGGGATAAAAACTGTTTACACCGCACCGTTAACAAACCGCAACTCGTCTGCACCGAACCGTTTATTACCCGGACTGTTTACAACCCGAAACCGAATTAAAACCGCTCAAGAATAAACCGAAACCGAATCGAACCGATAACTATTTAAACCGAACCAAAACCGACCCGTGAGACAATTAAACCGATTCCAAACCGACCCGATTTAATACCGAACTGAAACCGAACTGTCAAACCGTTTTGACAGTGCTAGCTTAAAATCAAATTTGGATCGTTTTGAGTTTGTTTTAGGTTAGATTAATTTAGATTCGGTGACATAGTAGGTTTGTTAACTAATTTTTAGTTCATCTTTAGATTTGATCCAATTTTATCGAGTTGTGTTTTCCAATTATTATATAGTTTTGGGTAGACACGGGTTGGTATCTATAGTTACTAGCGGTAGGCAGTGTATCACATGTGTTTTTTTAGTTAAGAGCATAGCTAGCCATTAACCATTTAGGGTGGTTATTAGGTGAGAGAGTGTAAAAATATTATAAATAATTGTAGAGAGATGAAAAAAAGGAGAGATAAAACAATAACCTAGTTAAAAATTTAACCAGGTTATTGTAACATGGTTTTTGATTTACCCACTTTTTTAAGACTCTCTACTTATTGAATAAAATTTATGGGCAACCAATGACATACATTGGTTATAAAATGGTTATCAAGTGGTTACAAATAGGTGGAAGATAAAGAAATGAATAAAATAGATGATAACCAAAATGATTATGGTTAACCATTGGGTATACTCTAATAGGTAGTCTATATATATATATATATATATATATATATATATATATATATATATATATATATATATATATATAATTTTTTGTTTTTTTACAAGAAGCACTACAAAAGAGAAGAAACAAAACCTAAACTAAAAGGACCAAAAAAGAAAACGATGACAACGGGCTTGTACAGCCAACCAATGTGCCGGGGCAACCCACTGACGAGGGACCTTGCAAATCTCACAAACTGAGAATTGGAGGATGATATTCTGGATATCATGAAGCAACCAAAGACTAGAAATATCCCGATCAGTACCATTGCAAAGAGAGAAGAACAAGGATGAACAGTCAGTGTAAATCAACAGAGGCTGAAACCCGCGACGTTCCGCTGCCCTGAGGGCCCAAAGACAAGCCTGAAGTTTTGACTGAAAAGCAGCAGAAGAAAGAAAAGCTCTCGCGCCTCCACCCAATACTTTATCAGAATGGACTTTTCTGAAAATCCAACCCGCTCCTGGTATAATATCGGATCTTACAAGCACCATCAAACACCAGACAAACATCGAAATCAGACAGAGAAGACCCCCTAACCCTGCACAAACTAACAGAAAGTATAGGAGTACGAGAGGAGTGTGTGACAGAACAGCATAAGGAACCTTTAAATTCCTGTGCAGCCAACGAGCGAGACACCCATTCCTGCATGAGATGGATAATAAGAGCTGGAGACAAAACAGCCTGTCAAAAAATCTTATGATTTCGGTCCTGCCAAATTGCCTAATAAAAGAAGTGAAGTGCACCAAAGATTTCCACGACTTGGCACGTCTTAAGTTAGAAACCATCTCAACAAACCAATCCACAAAGGACTTATCCCTACAAACTGGAAGCATAGAGAGAGATGCAATAGAAGCCCAAACAACATAAACAAAGGAGCATTCACGAAACAAGTGATCAGTTGTCTCTGAGTTACTCAAACGCAGAACACACGTTGAGTCTACAGGGATCCCTTTTACGTGCAAAAAAGAGTTTATCGGCAAAGCATTATTGACTAGCTTCCAACAGAAACACTGCAGCTTAGGTAAAAGAGGTAAACCCCAAGATATCTTCCACCAAGAATAAGGGAAAAAAGTTGTTCCAACAGTACTTGCTGACTAAAGAAACAACATAACATAAGCAGACTTGGTAGTAAGAGAACCATATCTAGAAAATTTCCAATGCACAATGTCATCCATTGGTTTACTAAGAAATTCTAAAGTCAGAATACGGATGGCTGAATTTGAATCCTAAACCGGTTGTCCAAATTATCTTATTAGACGTGATTTTCAATTACATATTCCCTTTAAACATGCAATATGGTGATCATAATAACAATAGAGTAAACATTAATATTGGAGGCAATTTAACAATAATAGCGTTAGTCAAATCAAATAATAATAATAATAATAACCTAATCATGATGCTAGCAATCTAAAAATAAAATAAGAGTAATTAAATTAATTAATTACTCACATTCTGTACGTTACTTTAAATTGCTACATCATGAATAAATTGTTAGTAACTTTAATAAAAATATAAATCAAATGAAAATTAAATTAAATTAGAGTTAATTTGGTCCAAACCCTCAGTCAATTATACCTTTCACGCCTTGGTTTAAGTATAGAACTTTGGGTATTGTATGAACTCCTTGGAGTGCTTAATTAGGGAAAGTATCTTGAGGAAATAGGATGGAAAGTATTTAGGCTAAAGAGGGAGAAGAGAATGATTTGATGATCAAGTTTGTTGATCATTGAAAAAGGGGAGATATGACCTATATTTATAGAGAAAAAAGAAGGTCGAAGAATCAAGAAAAGAAAAGAATTCGAATCGGATAAAACTCTTACGATAGACAACAGTTTTTACGGTTTTTGTTTTTATCATATCTTTTGATCCAGAAATCGAAATAAGATGAATAAGATATCTTTGGAAAGCTCTTTAAGTATACTTTCTAACTCAATTAGAATAATATTAAAATATTTTGTAGAACAAAAGATGTGGGCGAAATAGTAAGACAGTGTCAGTTTTGGATAGAGTTTGACATTTTATTCGTATCTTTTCCGTTAAAGCCCGGAATTGATATTATAATATATCAATGGAAAGATAATTCAAGGGATATCCAATCATATATAATTTGGATAAAAACTACGAGGCACGAAAATAATATCTGTCTACCTTTGAATGTCTTTCAATTCGGATAGAAATAGGATTTTTCAAAAAAAGGAGTTTTATTCAATTTTAAAACTCTTTAATCTTATCTTTTCAAAACGGATAATTAGGATCTTTTAGAAACTTATAGAAGATTCTAATTAATCGTAATTGGTTTAGAAATGGGATTAAATAATTTAGACACTCCACATGATCATTGGGTCGTAGGTAAGGTGGGCATAGGTTCGGTTTGGGCTCAGTTTAATATTTTGGCCATAACTTACTCGTTATAACTCAGATTTGGGCTTAGAATATATCGTTGGAAAGCTCTTTTAAAGACCCATCAAATTATTGAATCATTGGACTCAGATTTTGGACTAAAATAAACTAGATTAAACGTTTTTATAAAAAGGACACGAAATGAATTGTTTTGGGTTTAAAGGCACGAAAAGAGGAAAATAAGTTATGTTTTGGGGAAATGGGCTAGGAATTGGGTTCGTTTATGAAATGAAAATATGGATTTAAGCACTCCAAAGATTAAATACTCAACCTGACCAATAATGGCGATAAAAGGTTGTTCATCATCGGGTTTGGTTTTGGGGAGACATTTTTAGGTGTCTACAGAAGCCCCCACTTTGACTGAGTTTGTAGAAACGTCAGTTTCGAAAACGATAGTCAAAGTAGTCGATAGGGACGGAGAATGATTTAAGACGTTCTGCGATCCTAAATCACTCTGTATACGCCGATACCTGCAAAAAATGTTAATTCCACAGATAAAAGAGTAAAGGGATAGAACAGTTATCTGACACCAGTGTATCGGTGACAAATGAGTTTGGTATTTTCCTATGCTTGAAGGAATCCACCGGATGACGTTTGTTGAAATGCTTTCCATGCTTGAGGAAAGCCGACAGATGAGTTTGGTAGCTTTCTAAGCCTAAAGAAACCTACCGGATGACACTTTCCATGCTTGAGGAAAGTCAACATATGATTTTGGCGTTTTTCTATGCTTGAAGAAATCCACCGATAATG